ACTCGGCGAGGCCTCGGAGACTTTAGGCCTCCATACGCAGTACGTTCCAGGAGGTATAGTCTCCAATTCATCGGCTTCCGATGAGGATGATGAAGGATACTCATTCTCGCGATTTTCCATAAATAACTTCTTCAAAGGAATTCTAATACTCTCCACTCCTTCATCAGATGAACTTTTTCCAAAATATTCATATTTAACCGAAAGATCGTGGTTAAATACGGGAAAAACTTGCTTGATTTGGCCGTCATAGAAGAGCTCCTCGGCCGAAAACCCTTGATTTTCACCTACCAAAGCAAATTCAAAATCATCATCGTAGTTATTGTCTGCATCGTTCTCATCTTCTACAGCGTCGTTTGTGTTAATTCCGGTAACTTTTGCAGCAATTTCTGCAATTCCATCTGTCGAATAGCTGTTGAAACTCAGGCAAACGCAGAGCTCCTCTTCACCATCGGCCATTTCCCCGTTCTATGTATATATATGTATATATATTTTTATATGTAACTGTAAGCATACACGTATACAGAGAGAAGTGGGGAAGGTGAGAGGGTTTTTCTTCCCTGGGGAGACGAGGAGCATGTTGGGGAAGGAGGGGGCTTATATATACGTCAATGGCTGATTTCTCCTGTAGGAGAAATAGTAGACGGCTTAATTGACTGTCGTTAGTTTTACAAAACTTATTTGACGGTCGTTAGTTGTAGGAGCCATCGATTCACACAATTTACGCGGTAATTTCCCACGTCAGTTTCTAGAATTAATTTAGGTTCACACGTAAGTTTCAAGAGTTAATTTAGTAAATGTTTGGGTCACATTAAAATTTTTATTCTCATTTTTCTACTTATTTTCAACCACACATTTTTTAATAAAATAATATTTTTCATCACATCAATAATTTTTCCTTCTTTTTCAATCATTCATTCTCCTTCAATCTACGATGAGAAACTCTTTTAAAAATTAATTTTAAACGAAAATTATGATAATTTTCTTAAAAAACTCTTTTACAATAAGTCAAATCTAAAGCAAAAGGCACGTAAAACGGCGCGGAATTGATGAATTATTGATAAAAAAATGTTACTTTAAATGTATCTTTTCTTATATACAGTTAAAATGACTATAAAGTCTTGTTTAAATCTAGGATTAAAGTAACGTTAAAAGTTAAAACAACGGGAAAATATGGCCTCATCTTTTAAAAATGAGGAAAAAAAGGTCTAAAAGCTGAGATTTTATCAAAATTTCACATACCAAAAGTCAAAATAAAAATTATTAGAGTGGCTGTAGAATGACAGGAAACAATTGAAACTTTACACTATTGGAATTTGAAGCTCTCCACCCGTTCACCATTATCAAGATTCAATTGCTTTAATTTTTAGCCCTCCTTCATGGCCACTATTTTAAGAAAATAGAATTTTAAATAATTATTCTTTGGAGAATATACAGTTAAAAAAAATAAAAATTGAATTTACGTGCAAAATATTTTATTGTATAAATATGTGATTAAAAATAAATATAAGAATTAAAGAATTTTAAAATAATGATTGTCAAACAAGAGTTTAATTAACTGACCTAAAAGTGTAGAGATTACCGTGATGAAAAAGACGTCTCAATAAATAGTTAGAAATAAATGTAACGGTTAAAAGGGAATGACGATTAATTATTTTAAATTTATGTTTTCACTATATTTTCTTAATTTATTTAAATTAAATCATAGAAATATAATTTTAAAAATCTAAGGGTCCGTTTGATTGAAAGATGAAATTTGGATGAACAGAAAACGAATTGTAGGGAATTGAATAGCATATAACTTGTTTTACCGGAAATTGTCAATTAATTGTGTTTGATTGGTATAATTTTTCACCTGAAAAATGTTTAAATTTTCTATCTTTTGGTGTTCGTTTGACTTTGTTTTCATAAAAATTGTCAATTAAATAGATATAATTTCTTACAATTTGGGATGTAATTTGTTTGGATTGTCAAAAAAAAAAAAAAAAAATTGGAAATTTTTTGCGTTCGTTTGGCTTTATTTTGCATGAAAATTGTCAATTAAAGAGATAATTTTTTTTACAATTGACAAAAAAAAAAAGATGGAAAACCAAAAACCACCTAAAATGTGAGAATTGAAATTCAACTAAAACCAAGAAAATTGGTGACGTGATGGCAAATGTGGAAAACTAATTCTTGGTAGAAAAGTGCCATCAAACATTGTAAAAATGGGAAATTGAATTTCAATTCCACTTTTTATGAGAAGAAGGACCTATCAAACAGGCTCCAAGACTTTTCGATGGAAACCATAAATGAAGATAAGTACCTCCTATGAATGCCGCCTTTTAGATGCTTCCATTGGTGGTCCCACATAGTGAGAAAAAGCTGGCCAATGGATTTTCATATTTCGACGTAATCAAACAGAGTACTAAATTTGTGGTACAGTTTCTAGAATCCCATATGAAACACATAGAATACCTTTCTTGTTTGTAAAGATACCGATTTTTTCTGTCTTTTTTCTTTCCTCTTGGCTTGTTTGAGCTCTTTCTTCTTCTTCTTCTTCTTCTTCTCTCTCTCTCTTTTTTTTTATTTTTCAAAAAAATGCATTTTATAGTATTGTTATGATGGAGAATGTGTGGTTAAAAAATAAAAAAAAATTTGTACAATATTATTTTATTAAAAAAAAGTGTGTTTGAAATGAGATCAAATCGGTATTCAAGAATACATTTTGATCGAAAAAATAATGCTCAAACAAGGGCTCAATATATTTGGATAAGTTTTAAAAAAATAAAAAATATATTTTTCACTAAATTATAAAATTACAAATTTCATTGTTCAATTGAGGGAAAGCATTAGTTACACATACATTGGCGTGATTTTGTAATAACTTTGTGACATTTTGAGCTACAGAAAATAGGCATAGTACTTGACGGTTGAAATGGTCTAATGCCTCCTCATCACCTTCATTGATCACATCAGTTTTTCAATCTCCATGAATATGTTGATGGTATAAATTTGATCGAAAAATCCTACTCACCCAATTACGATTTTCATTTTTTAAACTTACTAGTTTTGATTTTCAAATTGGAGTAAGAAGGAAAATATCTATTTGAGAGGGAGATGTTTAAATTGCACGCATTTCTCTTTAATTGGGAACCTGATGTGTCACACACAAAAGGAGAACCAGAAAAATGAGATTTCAATTAATTAATTAACAAATATTGTACAGTTAATTAATTGAGTTGCTTGTTAATAGACCCGAATTAATTAATTCATGAACCAAATTTAATTAATTAAATATTGAACCGGGTTAAGTTTAAGAAACGGGTCAAATCCACTGGACTTATATTAATAAGCTTAAAAAAGAAGAACTTGAATTTTGACACTTATTCACTTGTAACAAGGATAACGTCTATCCGAGTTTAATTGCTTTAGCAGTTTTGTATAATTTGCAGATACATCAGATGGATTTTAAAATTGCATTTTAAATGGTGAGCAAAACGAGCAAGTTTATATGGAACAATTAGTAGATTTCAAAGTAAAAAGGATAAGAACACAAAATTTGTACAATTCTTAAATCTTTATAAGGATTGAAGCAAGCTCCTAAACAGTGGCATGAAAAGTTTGACAATGTCATGATTATGAACAAATTCACCATAAATGAGTGTGAAAAATGTGTTTATTGGAAAAGGTTCAGAGAAACATGCATTTTGGTTTGTTTCTATGTTGATGGCATGCTCATATTAGGGACTTATATGGAAGTCATTAATAAGACTAAGATAATGCTAACCAATAACTTTGATACGTAATATATGGGTGTAGCACGCTTGATTTTAATGAAAATCTCTAGAAAATATAATATGATAACTTTGTCTCAAAACACATTATACAGATAAAGTGATTGAAAGGTTTAAAATCCATGGTATTAATAAGTTTAAGAATCTATTTCCCTCATGTAGTTCTTCACAAGAACACAAAAATGATAAACAACAATTAGAATATTCTTAGATAATTGGAAGCCTAATGTACTTAATGAGTTGTACAAGGCCACATATAGCCTTCCCAATAAGTAAGCTAAGTCGATATACAAGTAAACATAGTAACGAACATTGGAGTACATTGTTTAGAGTGTTGGGATACTTAAAACATACTTGAGAGTAGTCATTGTGTTATGGGAAATATCCTCTAGTAGTTTAAGGATACATTGATGCTAACTGGATATCAGATGTAATTAAGTTTAAATCTATAGTTGGCTACGTATTTACTCTTAGAGGTGGTGTGATTTCTTGAAAATCTTCTAAACAAACATGCATAATTTGATCCATAATGGAATTCGGGTTTATTGCTTTAGACAAAGCACGAGAAGAAACTGAATGGTTAAGATATTTCTAATAAGATATTCCGATTTGGCCAAAGCATGTGCTAGTTATATGTATTCAATGTGACAATCAAGTAACTATAGCTAGAGCAAAAAAATTTGGGTACAACGATAAGTCGAGACATATATGTCGTACACATAATACTATTCGACAGTTACTCTCAAATAGAACAAATAATTGATTTTGTTAAGTCGAAGAATAACTTAGCGGATCCGTTTTCCAAAGGATTATCTAGAGAGAAAATATATTGTTCATCGAAGAAAATGAGTTCAAAGCCTATATAATAGATCAACTTAATGGAAATCTAACATGGCGACTGAAGATCTCATGGACTAAATTCAATAGGAAAACTAGTTATGAATTACTAGATGAGAAACACTTCAAAGTTTAACTCTTCATTTCTATTATGCAACTAACTGCCTACCAAAGATCAATTTGGTTAAGTTATGCTTTTATTTATGACAATATATTAAATAGTATAAGTGGAGTATTGTAGGGTACTTTTTATAGAACATCCTGTGTGAGGGCGAACTTGGCTGGTTCAAACGAGGATTTTACTTAGGTGAGTTCTCTAACGCACTTGGAGAGTTCAGAGACAAAATAATGAACACAATAGAGAGCTAAAGTTTGATATGAAAAATAATATGTTTTGTCTATGAAAAATAATATGTTTTGTCTATTGTATAGGCTTGCAATAACGGCCAACAGTTCAAAATGTTGATTTCACTGATTACCAAGTGAGTCAGATATATTCTTATTAAGGAAGGTTCAAAACAAAAACTACCTATCGTGATGTATTATTTTTCAATAATACTCTTCTTTGTGTTTCTTGGATTTTGTCGACTTCTTCTATTCATGTGGGGGATTTTTTGAATAAATGATTATGTATGAATTAGAATAAGTCTCCAATAGGTGCAACTCTTCAATTACAAATGGTGCATACAAAGACTTATGTGTTTTGAATAAGTGTGATTCTTTAAAAAGGTGGAAGATGAAAAGGCATGATCTTTCGATAGGGTGCAATCTACAACATTTAATATGAAAAATGGATAATCTATGTATAAAGATGCAACCATTCAAAAATCCACTAGAAAATCTATA